TTCTTGAAGCGTTGAAACCACTCACGACACGTTCTTTCACTATTAGCGGCCTCACTATAAGTATTTGAGAGCATTAGATGAGCCTCAGCCGCAGATTTCTTCATATTGAAGCAGAAAATTAAAACCTCCCGCAAATGACGAAAATTTGGTTCGTAAACTGACATTTTCAATCGAGAATAACTTTATGATGCAAACACGAATCGATTAATGTTTCTATGGGGTTATGTTGACAGATGTCCAAGTTTATTGTATGACGTATTCTATGATCTATTTATTTCGACTACCACTTACCGCTAGAGCCATCTATAAGAAAACGGCGGAAGCAAAGTTGTACACCTAATACATTGAAAACCCAATTATTTATTTAATTAGCTGAATAAATGCATTTTAAAGTATATATCAAAAATATTTATTAATATTTACTATCAATATATAATACAAATTGTTATTATTTTCTAAATCTTTATGGATTGGATAGCATTTGCAAATGAAAATTAATTTATTGGAAACATATTATTGAAAATCTTATTCGAAATGTTTGATGACTCATTTTGATCATGTAACGTATTAGACGATTCCGAAGAAATTAATAATGTACATGCTATATAGAACTCTTTTGTATTCATAAGTTCTTTATTTATTAGGTGTTGGAATTAATTCGTAGCGTTTTTAATGAAAGAATGTTATTTATTTCACATGAGCATTAAAAAATACATTAATGAAAGTACTTCCCATCACTTGTAAAACGCTACGAATTAATTCCAACACCTAATATAATTTTTGGTATTTCTATAAAATAAAATGTATGTTTTTATTTATTCTCTCTTGTATATCAATATTATGTTTATTCATCTGTGCAAGTGAAATGTTTTTCCTCACCATTTAATTTAAACCATTTAAACTAATTTAAAAATATTTTAATATAATATTTCGTGAATTAAGCACCAAAATAAGACCTGCATTAAAATTTATAATTTATTTATTTAATTAAAAAATTAACCATTACATAATCATTTGATTCAACAGCATACTTTCAATGAAATAATATTTAAATGAACTAGTATACACAAAGTATTTTTTGCACTCATGATTATTTTTACTTGCTGAAAACGCGAGTCGATATATTTAATCTTCTTTTTACTTTAAGCATCCATTATCTTTGAAATTGAATTATTATATGTAAAATATATATACTTTGCTGCAATACATAGAGTTAGAGTTTTAACATTTAAATACATTAGTAGAGTACATTTAAATACAATTAGAATACATTAAAACAAACATTTAAATAAATATAACGAACTTTTCAAAACCGATGGTGTTGGCAACTAAGTCCTATTATTATCGTCATCAGAAGAAGGTAATGATCTAATCCTAATAGATCGTTTTCACCGTATATAAAGTCGGAGATGTCCTCCCTTTTTGCATTTCTCCCTAGCAATTTTGTAATCAGCTAGGAATATAAAAATTCAGATTACCTTAGAATTTATTATAAGAATTACGCATGACACGATTCGTTCTTAAAAATGTAATATAAAATAAATTTTAATGTAATATAAAACATTTAAAAATTAATTTACTATACAGAAAAAACTGGGCTTAATAATAATCAATCGAAAAAATTTTATAATAATATCTTAAGTATTATGTTATAATGTTAATACATGCCTTTTTTTAAATAAACTATTTAATCCGACTTTATTTGTGACTCATGTATAGATTACTACTGATATACAAACAAACGCTGCACACGCTTACCAAAAATGCTGTTTTGAAAGATACTAAGGACTAAAATAATGAACAATTTTTTAGTTATTGTACATCAAACTCTGCAAAATTGCTGTTTTGGCAGAGTTTGATATAAATACAATATGAATAATAAACATATTTTATACTGCGAATTGTTATAATTATATTAGTTTTGCTATATTTTAAAATGTTTATTTATAAAATAGATAATTATAAGGCAGTAAGAATTCACAAGGCCGATCACCACGTTTTTCTTTCGTTTTGAGTGAAAACGCGTCAAATGAGTATATTTTTAATGAAATTTTAGGTATAGGGAGGAGCCGTATTCTAAATCTTATTACAATGAATTAATATCTTAAAAAAAGATTATGTGGTCTACAATATATACGTATCATGATTCATTGTTTACTACGTCAAAATAATTCATTGTAGACCACCTAATCTTTTCCACGATAATCTCCTAAATAATGTAATAAAATAATAAAACAGAAAAAGTTGCTTACAGAATAATAAAGCCACACAAAAATATTGCACAATGAAAAAAATAAGTATAACAAAAAAATAAAAAATGCGTAAAACTTACGAAAAAAACTTATTTTGCAACCTAAATTCTTAAAATGTGACATTACATGATTGTCTTTGGCACGATCTGCCAGTCAAGTGGAGAGTCGAGGAGGGGTTTAAATGCGAGTCATTTTCTTTATTATCACTGATGAAGACTTTGCAAGTCGAAACGTTTGAAATTTATAGCATTAAACGTTTGTAATAAAAGACGAATTTCATTAGTTAACTACATTTGCTCGTTTTTTAAAAAAGCCTTAACATTTTCATTTATTATTACAAATTTTAATAAATTGTAGTAATAGTATATTCTTCCTCCCATTAATCCAGAATAGTATAAATCATGTTAAAACGCAACAATTTACGGGATGTTTAATTGTTTATGACTTTTAGTAGTATAATAGTGGCGGTTCTAACCCAGGTCCTTTAAGAGGGGCGCGGGAGATACTCATAGGCGCGGAGGAGTAGGCGCGGGGAGTACTGGTAGACGCGGGGAAGGGAGGGGAGGTCCCGGCGCTATCGGTGTTTACTGATATGATGAGTCCCAGCGTTATCAGTATTTACTGATATGATGATATGTATCGCCATGTCGACCGCCGCCACCCAACACACCATCGCCGCAAACGCTGCCACCACCGCCGCCGTGGACCCCGCGTCCACCCTAAAGTGCGTTTCGAACTGTCGCCGCGGACTCCGCGTCTATCTCAAAAAAAAAAAATGCGTTGCGAGGTCATCGCCACCACTCCAACACTCACCCGTGCACACAAAAATGTGTCCACTATAACGTGGACTTTTGTCTAGAAGATCGGTGGCACATCATCGATGTATCGGCTGCTACACAAAGCGCCTTCAATGAGGGATAGATGATGAAATCATACTGCATTCTTACAGTTCTTTCTTTCAAGGTCAGAAACGTTGATAATGATATTTATCTAGAAAGAACCGTGAGATCGGGTGATACGTCGCGATGCGTTAAGAGAGAGAAACTGATAACGATATTTTTTTTGTAAGAAGAGATCGGTGACACGTCGCCGATGCTGCAACCCAATAGGGAGGGTAGACAAAGGGACAAAGAAGTCGCAAATAGAATATACAATGGGTCATAAGCGCGCGGCATCTCAGTTGACGTTTTTAAAAATTACCGAATCGCAATAAGTGTAATGCGAAAAGTATGGCTGATATCATACAGACGTTGAGGACATGGATGTAAATGCAGACAAGTTATTTGAAGCATTGGAAATAGAATTTGAGGACATAATGGACAATGTAGAGAATATCGATAACATTGAGGAGAGAATCAACGTAGCAGAATATATTAGAAATGTGAATGAGGAACAATTCGCGAATATTAGAGACGAAGTGTTTGATGAAGTGAAAGTAGACTTTGAGAATATAATGAACCAAGAGTCGTCCGACGAAGAAATCGTCTATCCGACGATAGTGGATGTGCTAGTGATATGAGCGAGTATGAAATGGATAGAAAAATTCGTGTCGTCTCCAGAAATTCGTACATTGAATGCTCGTACTAAGCACTGTGTGATCCATAATTATTATACAACGAGTGGTTCTTTAACCGTATGCACATCATGCATGATTCGTATAGCTGACATTAATGATAGAGGAATGTATCACGTCAGGATGCATGAGACCGGTTCTTTCGATGGACTAGACGGCTAGGTCGTGCACTAATTGCAGACTATCTTTGTACATTATATTCTCGTGCAGCATATGTCCACTTTGCACACATAAAAAAAAAAACATGGAAAACCACGAGCAAGTGGAACGCGAACTGCTGGAACAGTGCGACCAGGTCGCTATTCTGATGGAGTGTTTCTCATGGCTGCAACGATGCGACGAATGCATCGAGCAGTTCGAAGAGCTTTGTCGTGCCAAGCGTCCGCGCCTCACCATTGATACAGACAATCCGCGGTGGCGGGGATCGTACGACTCGCGGGTGCAAAGTTGGAATTGGAGCGACGGTTCGTGCACATTGGTGGCGAGTATGCGAATGGCGAATACACGAGTGGCAACGAGCGATTTCTTGTCTGACGAGAGATCGATGTCGCGTTTGAGAGCCGTATATTGATAGGTGCAGTGATAAACTCTAATCACATCGAGCCGTGGCGGTTTTTAGAAGACGCTGGCGATGTAATGAACACCGCGTTCAATGGCGAGTTTGCGACGAAGGATAAACGTGCTAAGAGCATAATTACAAAGAACAGCGAGATATATTGTTGCACCGATATGCACGAGTGGTACGAGTACGTCGCCTATGCATCGCTCGAAGAATTCCAGGAACGCGACAGTGATGAAACGAGCGGTGATCAGTGTTTATTCGACGGACAATGCATGTTCGCGTGGTCGGTGGTTGCCGCTCTATATCCCGCAGAAAAACATGTAAATCGGGAATCATCATACCCGCATTACACCGCAGTATTAAATCTCGCGGGTATCGAATTTCCAATGATATTAAAAGACATTCCGAAATTCGAACGGTTGAACGCGGTGTCGATCAACGTCTACAGCATCGAAAATAGACAGGTCTTTCCTCTGCGGCTCACCAATGACAAGAAGGAGAAGCATGTCAATCTCCCGTACCTACAACATTCACGCAATGACAACATTAGATTTTACGTGGATAAAAAATCCCGCCTTGTAAGATCACAAATTATTTGGAACGAGAGCAGAAAATATTTTTATGATCGATAAGTATAATAAAAAAATAGTCAATAAAAAATAGTAAAAAAGAAATAGAAAAAATTTCTTTATTATTTGTAGGTACCTTCATTACTTCAGTTCGTGCGAAAAATTGCAGTCGCACGAAGTGGACTGCCAGAAGATCAACAACTGCGCCATCCGAGCGAGGACAACAGGTAGCTCGAATTCGACAACTATAACAATCGAGAACGAGTACTGTTCATCGTCTACGCCGATCTGAAATGCGTCTTACTCAAGACGAAATCCAACAAGGAAGACGCATCGTCGTACGCGTATCAACAGCATGACGCGTTTAACATAGACTACTACGTGCGATGTGCGTACAATAACGCGTTATCGTCGTATCACTTCCGTCGCGATAAAGACTGTATAGCGTGACTTGTTCGCGCGATAACTCAACGATTTGGCGCATCGCGTGAAAAATATCATATCCACCAAAGTGCCCATGGAAACGTTATCTAAACAGCAATGGGAGGCATATCGTAGCGCGACGCGTTGTCACAGTCTGCGAGAAACCGTTCGCGCCGGACGACATGCGGATTCGCGATCATTGTCATCTCACCGGTAGATATCGTGGTCCAGCGCATTCTAATTGTAATTTAATTTTAAATTATAAAAATTCGTTTTGTATTCCAGTCGTATTTCACAATTTATCAAGCTACGACGCGCATTTTATAATTAAGGAAATTGCTACCGCGTACGATGGACATGTAGATATACTACCGATAACTAACGAAAAATATATTTCATTCACTAAACACTCAAACATGTCGATAGCACCAAAGACACAAATGAAAAAAATTTTCAGAAAAATTGCATAAAATTAAGATTCATTGATTCTTTCAAATTTTTAAATTCAAATCTTGATAAATTGGCGTCGTGTCTCGACAAAGATAAATTAAAAATTGTACGTTCCGAATTTCCAACATTATCAGATGAAGAATTTGAATTACTCACACGAAAAGGTGTCTTTCCGTACGAGTACATTGATTGCGTCGAAAAATTGCAGGACACGCGCTTACCACCGCGCGAATTATTTTTCAGTTCGTTGACAGGCGATACAGTATCCAAGAGCGATAACGCTCATGCCGTGAACATCTGGAAGCGATTCTCCATTCGACGCTCGGCGCATACAGTGATCTTGAAAACTGATGTCTTGTTATTAGCAGACATTTTCGAAAATTTCCGTAATTGCATCGCGAGTTACTGTCTCGATCCCGCGCATTATTATACATTGCCAAGTTTCACGTGGGATGCCATGCTGAAATATACACGCATAAGATTCGAGTTGCTCACCGACAGTGATATGATCATGTTCATTGAGCGCGGCGGCCTCAGTCAATGCTCCGGCAGATATGCGCAGGCTAATAACAAGTACATGTATTCGTTCGATCTATCGAAACCGTCGTCGTACTTAATGTACTACGATGTGAATAATCTGTACGGATGGGCGATGTGTCAACCTTACCATACACCGAATTTCGGTAGGTCGAAGACGCTGCGAACTTGACGTGAGCGCGATCGCTCCGGATTCACCTACCGGTTATATTCTCGAGGTCGATCTCGAATCCGCGGCC